GCCTCAAATAGTGCTGATCTGAAATTCAAGTTTAACTGGGAATCCTGTATTTTTATCTACCTAATCTGCTATACTATCCCATACTGCTACATTTATACTCACATCTAATGTGTATTATGATTTCATTGAGGAAAAGGCACCTATTCAGGCCACCAATAAAATAAGCAAAGGAGAGTATAGGAAATAGAGATTTTTTAAAAATTAATTTATATTCCCTGATTTGTCAGATATACTCAGTACCAACCAAGTATTAGATTCACTGTTAACGTCAGGCTCTAAAGCAGTGACAGAGTGAAAGCCCTCATATGGGAGGCAACGGTGAGTGAACCCAAATAGTGAACAACAGTGGTAAGAAAAGTCAAAATATAAGAGTGGTGGTGACATGTTCATCTGATCGATTCAGTGGGAGGAAAGAGGGCAGCCCTACAGCTGTTTATGGTCTGCTAGTCAGGGAGGCAGGCAATGACCAGACTAACTGCTCCTGGTGTGGTCAGTGTGTGAAAGAAGCAGCCTGTTAACCTAGAAAATAATGGTAGGGCAAGATGGTTTCTGCAGTACGCAGGGAAGGCCTCATGAAGATTTGTCGTTTCAGAAGTTGATACCAACCGGGTGATGGAGGCACTGAAATAGAAAAGAGCTTGGTATAGAAGAGCCACAAGGAGGTGAAGGGGACTGGAAGGATCAGAAGAGAGCACAGTGGTATTGTGTGCAGTTTGAGAGGGTGCCAACAGCCACATGGCACAGGGTCTGCTGGGTCCCTGTTAGAGATTTGGATTTAACCTCGTTAAGCTAAGATCTGTGTACAGCACTGGGGAAAAAAAAAAAAACAGCTAAAGGGCAATGGGAAGCCACTGATGAGTTTTCAGTGATGAGTGTAAGATGGCATGGTTGGATTTTGACTTTTTAAAAATCACTCTGACATCAGAGGGTGAAGAGTAGAAATAGAGGAACCGCTGTGAGACAGGCAGCCGGAGACAATGGAGGACTGAACCTAGGTAGTGACCACAGAGGTGGAAAAAGAGTGTAAGTGCGAAGCAAACATGTTTTTCTGTTGGACTTGATCGATGTGAAGGAAAGAGGCAAGGAAAGAATCATGGATTCCTTAGGTTACTGGTTCAAACTGTTGTTTGGATAGATTGCCAACTATGGATCTGGGGAGGATAGGAAAAAACAGGATTGTGTGATATACTGGTTTCCTAGTGCTGCTGTAACAATCACCACAATCTTAGTAGATTAAAACAACACAGAAGTATAATTTTACAGTTCTGAGATCAAAAATCTAAAAAGGGTTTTACAAGGATAACATCAAGGTCTTCCATCTTCAAAGTTAAAGCAGCTGGCCAAGCCTTTCTCACACCACTTTATTTGACTTCTACTCTCCTGCCTCCTTCTTGTTTTTAAGATCTCTGTGACTACATTAAATCCACATAGATAATCCAAACAAACCTCTCCATGCCACAGTGCATTAATTGTCCGTGTTAATTCCATCTGCAGCTTTAAATATTTCCCTTACTAATATAACATATTCACAGATATCAAGGATTATTACATGAACATCTTTCCAGGTGAGGTGGAAAAACATTATTCCTCTTACCATGAACAAGAAAGTTGATGTGTGTGTTTACATAAGTCAAATTTAAGGTACCGGTATATAAAGACATTGGCATACTAGACATCACTGAAGAAGAGACAGAGCCTAGTGAGCCTCTGCTGTTAGAGTGGAGAGGAAAACCAACAAAGAAACAAAGAACAGCCAGAGAAATAGGATAAAAAGCAAGGCAGTATGGTATCTTGGTTGCACAGAGGAGAAACTTCAAAAATGGAGGGTGTGATCCTCTGCGTTAAATCTGGCAGTGAGGCCAGGTTAAATGTGGCATTTACAGATTTGTCAACAAAAGTTTGAAACCTTGATGCCAGCTGTTTCAGTAGCGTGGTGGTGGAAGAACAAAAACTAATGAAGATGGAGGAGCACTGAGGCCTGATCTGTGAGCAGAGGTGCTTAAATCCTATGTGACCCATGTGACTTCAGCAGCATCGTGTTTGTGTATGCTTGTTAAAAACAGTGAAGCAATCACATTTGATCGCAGTCTTTTCAGCAAGAAGCCAGGAGCTATGCAACATCATCATTGTGTATTGTGCATTCACATCTAGTCAGAATGTACAAAGGCTAAATTGATACATGAAAGGGGTATGGATAGATGTTATTGGGTTCTCATCACTGCTCTGTGTGTAAAGCAAACACCGCGGTAAACAGGAGCAATAAAGCACAGCTGTTTTCCTGAAAGCATCGCAGGAAATCCTGTAGGATCAAGTAGCAGGAGCTGCTTAGAGAAAAGCAAAATATTCTTTAGCTAGACTCCGAGCTTGTCTTTGTACTGAAGAGTCTGGTTTTTCTGAAGATTCTCAGAGGAGCACGGGCTACCATCTTCCCAGACTGTGGTTCATCAAAAGGGCCCACTGCTACAGAGAAGCATGCTTTGTTAGCTAGTGGTGTCTGCCTTGCTGCTCATCCATATGGGGCCATACTCTTGGGAGAACATGCCTGAAAGGTTCTTCAGCCCACACCCTCCTCTGCTCTCTTTACTGGATTTAGTCCTGTAGAAGGAATTCTCAGAACAACAACATTCAAATGCTAAACCCAAAGCTTCCTTATTATTGTTTTCAAATTAAGTTAAATAAGGAAAATTTAAGAATCAGAAGCAAATAGCCAACGTATTAATTCCCTTGCATCTTAATCTTATCTTAATTCAGGTGTATTATAGACCTAAACAAGACCATCAAACTATATAGTTTGAGTAGGCAAAATATTCCTAGAAAGGACACATGAAATGATAACTGCAAAAGTACTGATACACTAAGTCAAAATTTAAACCTTCTGTGGATGAAGAGAATAGCCAAGCATAGTTGTGTACTCCTGTGGTTCTATTACTCAGAAGCCTGAGGCAAGAGAATACCTTGAGTCAAGGAGTTTGAGACCAATGTGGGCAACATATCCCCAAAGTCAAATACATAAGCCACAGACTAAGAGATAACATTTTTGAAATACACATCCGATGGAGAACTTGAATCCAAAATACACATCTCTCCTGTACCTCGATGACAAAAGAAACTAATTTTAAATTAGCAGAAAGTTTTAATCTATGATAATTGTCTGCTTCACTAGGTCGAATAGTTTCAATTTAGTGGAATTAATAGTTTTTAAATAGAAATAGAAAAAGTGAAGGAAGTTGATTTAAACCAAAGAAAGCGGCTTACTTGATTACATACCGAAAGCTAGGCTAAGTACCACCTGGCGGCAGAATTTTGAATTGCAGTTGGAATTTGTTGAAGGGGGGATGTTTTGTTTTATTTTGTTGGTAAACATAAGTTTTGGGATGAATCTGCAGAAAAAGATTCATAAACAATAAGATGACAGCAAAATTAGAGTTTATCATAATAAAATAGAACCAAAAGAAGAAAATCTATGTAGCTATTTTTGCACTGAAAGTAGTTATTACTAATTATGAATCAATGCAAATCATAATATGTTACTATGCCAAATATATATGGTGGAATTTTAACTGGGTATTAATATAATAAGTAGAAGTTTATGAAGTGCCAGATATTTAACATGTACCATTGCATTTAATCTTCCCAAGAACTGTGTAGCACAGACCCTCCTCACAGAACATTGCTGTGATTAACATTTCCCCATAGAAATCACTCTTTTTTTTTTTTTTCACAGTTAAACTCAGGGCCTCCACATTGAGCTACATCCCCGTACCGTGACCCTTTTTTGAGACATGATCTTGCTAATATCTAAGTTTTCATGTGGTCTCCAGCACATGATCTGTCTGCCTTAGCATCTCAGACTGCTAGAATTGCAGACTTATGCTACTGAGCCTAAGGAAACCCGCTTCATTTTTGGTAACAAAACTTAAGAGAATGTATCCCTCAGTACAACATTTTTGTGGCTTTCTGAAATGAAAGTGGAAAAAATCAAGGATAAAGAAACAAAGTCAGAAAAGAAAATTTATAATGGGAGAAAAGAGATTAGAGGAAAGCTTAGAAAGTAACATTTAAAGCAATTTACAACCTAACATCATTTTTGTTTATATATATATATATATATATATATATATATATATATGATGTTATTGCATTTTAGTTAAGTTTTTGGAAGTTGTTACAGATCTTATAATCCATTATATTTTTCTTATGACAAATATGAAAACAATGTTGTATTGTAATTTACTTTAAATGTCTCTCCCAAAGTAAAAAGGAAGAAAACCCAGGAAAAAGAAATGACTCATGATAGATAGAAAAGGCAGATGGAAGAACTATGTGATCGTTCTTGAAGATACTACCCAAAAGTGGCATCTGTCATTTCCTCCCATGCTCTAATATCCAAAGCAAGTCACACGCTGTGGCTGATGTCAAAAGGGAAAGGGAATATAATCCTCTTACAAGTGGCTTGCAAATACAGAATATAGTCTTTTCTACATAAGAAAAGTAGTGAGAATAGGCAGGGAATAAAAGTTGAATCAGTCACACACAGTATCTACCACAATACACATACACACACACACACACACACACACACACACACACATACACACACACACACTCACTCTCAAAATCTGTGTTCAGAGCATTTCACAACCAGGCATCCACATCATTTGGGAACTGTAGGAGTTTTTTTAGTCCTTTTATTTTTCCTTATATGTTCATGTATCAGTTCCTCATGATGAATGTATTTATTATGTATTATAAACATATACACTAATAAAAAGAGAGAAACAATTTTTTTTTGGTACCAGGGATTGAACTCATGACCTTGCATTTGCCAGGCAAGCTCTTGTGTCTCTGAGCAAAATTGCTAGCCCAGAAATCAATTTTTTAAAAGTCCAATGTTGTATCAAGGTGATACACACAAGCAAGGTATATTTTTAAGCTGGGAGAACTTTGGGGATTATCCTCATGTTTAGTTATTGAAGTTCTTTTCTTTTGTTCTGAATCAGGTGCTATCATACCATGCAACATGTTCAAAAGCTGAAGTTGACAAGTTTAAGGTAAGGAGGAAGTTACTGTGCTATTAGTGCATGAAATTAAAGTTGGCCTGGCTGCCTGACCTGTTCGTACTTGCTTCTAGAGTCCTGCCCTATGGGGGTGGGGGGCATAAAGCTGGACAGAGTGTGTTTGGTTTCACATTTCAGAAGGGAAGAGGGAGCCCTTTCGTGACCATTTAAATGACCCAGTATCTCCTCCCATTTATTAGATAAGCGCTACATCAGAAAAATACTGAGACTGAGACCATAATAGATAGCAGGTACCAACTGTTTACCATGAGCCAGGGACAATATAAGGTAATTTATCTGCACTCATTCACATAATCCTTACAAGTCTGAAATACTGTACACACTATTTTACAGGTAAGTAAGCTGAGGCATGCCAATGCTGCATAGCCAGGCCATGCTCGAACTGTAAGGGCAGATAGCCATGCTTCTGTGCTGCTCAGGGTGACCTGGCTCCAATGTCTGGTGAGTCTCTGAGTGAGGCTTAGGTATTTATTTTCACCTTAGTCACCCTTGTTTCCTTAAACATAGTTCAGAATTCATGTTTATCTCCTTGCACTCTGACCAGGTAGGTTTTAGCAGTGGTCAAAATATGATATAAGGAAACTTATTTTTCTCCCATTCAAAATGTTGATGTCTGCTTAAGATTATGTTTCATATACAGCATCACTTGATGATAGCTATTCTTTCAAGCATCTCATTTGTACATAAATAAGTTCATCTTCCTAGAAAAAAATAGCAGAGTTTGAGTTTGTTAATTGATTCACTGGAATTGAGTCATATAAACAACAAAACCAAACAAATAAGAACCCGAACACTAACAGCAGGGGTAAAAAACATTCCTCTAAAGGGCAAAGAGCAGCACATCTTCAGCAGCCATGTGATGACCCATTTCTGCATCTCCATCCAGGGGTGTGGTTAGACGGATGTTTAGAAAAAAGACCTGCCTGGAAGCCCAGACCAGAAGGAGAGGCGATGCTGGTGACTGCTGACACCAGAGGAAGGAGACAGAGCAGTCAGGGCCTGTCTGCTGTAAAGCCAAACATTCTACTTACTCTTCATCTGTTTTCTGTTACTATAACAAAGTACTCGAAATTGGATAATATTCAAGGAGTAGAGGTTTATTTAGTTCATGGTTCTGGAGCCTGAGAAATCCAAGAACATGGCACTGGCATCTGCTCAGCCTCTGGGACGGGCCTTCCTGCTGCATCATAGAACATGGCACTGGCATCTGCTCAGCCTCTGGGACGGGCCTTCCTGCTGCATCATAGAGTGGCTGGATAGAGCAAGGGTGCGAGAGGGAGCTGCTCTATAACAAAACCACTCTTGCACTGAGCTGTTAATCCAGGAATGGACTAATCCATTCACAAAGGCAGAGCCCCTGGTGACCCTTCTTTTCAACAGTTTCATTAGGAGCAAGACTCTGGATACATTACATTTGGGGAATACATTCACATATGAACTAGCATGTGAGCTCCATTAGAGCACAGCTTTTGTATATTTTATTCACTGTTCTAGATCTTAAAACATAGTAACACAATGAATACTTGTTGAATGGCTGAATGAATGAATGACCAAATAAATCCATAAAAAACATTAGTAGTCTAGAACTCAAAACAATTAACTGTGTTAGTATACAGTTATTTTATATGCTTTATATGTTTTATTTAATACATATAAACTTTGTCAATATTTCCATCAAAAATATTTAAAAGATTTTAAACTTTAATAAAATTTAGTATACATGTATCAAAATATCATATAGTATCCTATAAACATGCACAATTTTTATATATCAGTTAAAAGTTAAATAATGTTTAGTTACCTAGCAATCTTTTTTATGGAAATACCCAATTCCTGGTACAATGTTAATATAATGCCCTATTATTGTATTTGCTATTATTATAATTGTCCTTGCTAAAATTGGAAGGGGATAGACAGGGAGAAAAACAGCAAGGCTTGTAATGAACCAAATATGGCTATAGGGACCTGACCAGAGCTATAGCAGACCAAGATCCATAGCTGTCTACTTTCTAAAGGTTCATCTACATCTAGTCTTAATTCTTTGCTTAGAGTAAGGAAAACACCTCTTTTAGAATTTGCCATGCATTTCTATTGTTAGCTCATAAGCATATTAAAAATATGAAGTATTTAAATTTGAGAACAAAGGGTTATTTCATCTTCTAATTATCAAGATTATTAACTTATTAATTCACTACCAAGTTTTATTCTGAAAGATATTAGCTAGTATCCTGTAACAATGTAATTGAGATATAGTAGATAATTTTAACCAAAAGGGTTTTTCTTGATATAGAAAGTAAATAAGACATTATCATAATTGGTAGCTGATGTCTATTGTAATTGCAGCAATAACATTAAAATGTGGCAGGCTTAAAATAATCCTGTATATAGGCAGTGAAATGCATTTCCAGAAATTTCAGGCTGGAGTACATGCAGTAACAGTTTTCTAACACTGTATGTAAGTAAATAAACAGTAAAGAAATGTGGGATTTTTTTTTACCAATACATACAGATAAGCCATGTTTATATTAAAATACATTATAACCTTTGTTACTTGTAGTACTTCTTAAAGAGCTAATTGAAAATTGTTTTAAAAAATTATGCAGTAACTTGATTGCAAATATACAACCAGACTTATCCATGAAATTTCTCAAGTTCAACTATTAGAACTCAGAGATTAAGTGCATGTTTGAGGAGAAACCTATTTCATCATCTAGTGCTGGAAAAAAATCTGGAAGTCAAATGTGCACATCCATATCCCAGAACTCAGCTGAAGTCCAAGCTATACCACCTCCAGGATGAGAAATGGCTGAGGAAAGTTAGATGCAGTTACTTTACAGGAGAGATTGTGAACCCTTCCGAGTCAAAAATTGTTCCTAATGGGAAGTTGAGAAAACAGGCCTCACTGTGTAGACAATTCCATTCGTGGTTCAAGTTCTTAGCTAAGAACATGAACAAACATGGAAGACATGGGCTCAGTGATGCTGTCAGTGCACTATGTGCTCCCACAGCATAGGGCTCCAGAGTATCAACAGCACACATGAGAAGCAGAGCTACTGGAAGACAAGAGGCAGGGCCTCTTCTTACCAGAGTAAGCAGCAGAAGCTGGATGGGTCACTGCAGGTTGAGTGGTCACATGGTAAGAACATGCAGTGTTGACCCAGAAGTCTCCCAAATACAAGGGGAAGAGATAGAGATGCTATCATATTGGAGAGTGATGTGCACCATTAATTACTCTTAATTTGCGGCCATTTGTATTTATAGACTATGTGGCCTACAGGAGGACAGATTTCCTATAAAGTCATTATCTTAGTAAATCTTTAATAATAATTAACACTAGGCTGACACCAACTTAACCTTCCTCATTTATGATCTATGTATTTCACACCCTTGATTTTGGGAGCTTGCTTTCCATTTTCAAGGATGACATAGTGAGGAGATTGTTTTTTTGTTTATTCTGATAATCCTATTCCTTCATTCAGGGACTGAGTGGTGGATGAGTGAGAGGCATTAGAATGTTCAAACCTTCCTAAAAGTGTCCCAGGACTACCCAGCCAGAATAAGTGGAATTGTGCTCATCCAACTGATGCTTACTGTTCCTTCTGACACGACACTTACACCACAGGAATAATCCAATTTGTAGGGCCACTTGCACACAAAGGACCAGAGCACTTCCTGGACTAGTGAAGCCATTAGCTATTTTTTAAAAGTTAATATTATAACTCAGGTTACAATATTCTTTATGGGTTGGTTGGCCTATGCATCTAATGAGGGAACCAGGACATGAAGAATGGATTTTTATCTTCGTTAGCATTTATGTACTGATTTTCCACGAACTTGCAGTAGAAAGCTGTATACAGAAATTTGTTCAGGTTTTAGTGCCTGTTTATATCTCTTCATCTCTGTGCTAACAGGAGTAATGTATAAAGACCATATTGACAATTAGATCTCTTTGAAGATGACTAGTTTGGAAGGCTTTTAATAACCTGAAGATGCCAGCTGTGATAACATAAGAAAATGAGTTTACACAGCAATTATATGCTCCTGTGATTTTATGTACTTTCCTTGGTTTTCAATGCAATGGACAGACCAAACGGTTATCACTATATACTGCCTGTTTACCAATTAAAGTCAACTCATGGATGTTCTCGAGTTATATTGCCACCTTCTATCCTCCCTTCTTTCCATTCAGAACTGCATGGGTTACAGCTGCAATCTGAGATGAAGCCGTTTACAGCACAGTAACTGCCTCAGTAATTAAACGCCAATAACTCAAGATGGCTGTTTGGGTTTAGACTGCCTCTTTCATATTTCAAGTTTTTAATGTTCATGCCTGGGTCACAAATTAATATCCTAGTAAAGTAAATAAAACAAAGTACCAAGAATAGATACTCCTTGTGACGTTTACATGCCGAAAGAACAGGCTTCGTCAAAAAACTTTTTAGAAAAGGAGTCCTCCCACTTCTGTGCAGTCTTAGCATAGGAGATTATTTACTAGGCATTATTATTATTACTACTATTATTAAATAATTTAAATTTGAGAAGACGCTTTGCTCCATGAGACTGTCTCATGCGTGTAAGTCTCCTTCGGGCTTCGGGACCTCAGAGAGCTGCAGCAGCAGAGGTGTCCGCCCTCTTCCCGCCGCACCCGGCCAGCGCTGATCGGGGCTGGGGATGCCGTTTGGCACCCGACCCTCCAGAGGGCGCTCCGTTCTCTAATTGGCACAAAGGCATCCGCGTGCCAGCCAAGGGCCTCGACACTTTCTCAAGCTAGTCAAAAGCGCAGTCCTCGCAGCAGCCCCTCACTCAGCAAACAGCGGCGATATCACAGCGTTCACCCTAATCAAGGCGTCACAGGGTGTTGCGAGGCGGGGAGGTGGCGCGGGCACAGGGAGGCTCCAGGACGGGAGGGCACCCCCAGCTCCAGCTGCGCACCCTCCGCACCTGGGAGTAACGCAGGACCTTGGCGCCGCTGA